CCCAAATATGAAAACAACTAAACTGTCCATCAACTAATAAATTGATAAACTAAATGTGGTGTATCCATACAATGGGATATTATTTGGCCATAAAAAATAATGAAGTACTGATTCAAACTACAACATGGATGAATCTTAAAAACATTACACTAAGTCACAATTGATTCAATGTATAGTAAATGTCCAGAATAGGTAAAGCTATATAGAGAGAAAGTAGGTTAGTGGTTGCCTAGAATTGAGAGATTGTGTATGTGTGTATTTGGGGGTTGGGGGTAGAGAAAAGGGAAGAGGGTAGTGACTGCTGATGAGTATAGAACTTCGGGTCAATGAAAATGTTCTAAAATTGACAGTGGGGATGGTCACACAACTTTGTGATATCTGGCTCGTATAATTTAAATTGGTGAATTGTATCTCGATAAAGCTTTTTATAAAAAATAATGTATTACTACTAATACATTCAACTAGATGAACTTTCAAATAATTATGCTGAATGAAAGTCAGACTAAAAAGTAGTACACTCTAGAAAATGCAAACTAATCTATAGTGCCAGAATGGTCAATGGTAGCTTGGGGATGTGGAGGCAGGGAAGGCAGGAGAAAGGGATTTCCAAGGGACACAAAAAATATTTGGTGGGGGAGATAAGTATATTCACTATCTTGATTGTGATGATGGGTTCATGGGTGTATACGTATGTCAAAATTTACCAAATTGTACACTTTAAATGTGTGCAGTTTCTTGTATGTCAATTATTCCTTAATAGAGGCACATATGTCTATGCAAAGCACCATTTCAACAATGCTAGGGCTTACAAAAAATAGTTTAGAAGAAACTCTGAGAAAAAAGAAATCAGGAAGAAGTTCTGAGAATGTATTATCATATCGTGATATGATTTAACCAAAGAGTTACCAAAGAATCACTTTTCCATTGATAGTCTTGTTAAAAAGAAAAGGTGATCTAACGGTGTCTGCATCGGTTGCAGCATCAGAAGCATTTAGTTCATCTTCACAAGAGTCACCCCAGCTTGGCAGTGTATCCACATCCACAAACTGGGAAGGTGCACCCAAGGGATCCATGGAATGGGAACTTCAGCTCGTCTTTTCCCAAATTCCTCAGCAACTCAATATTCACGGGAGACTTTAGCTTCAGAGAAAAAGAAACCAATGGTTTTTTTTTGTTTTTTTGTTGTTGTTTTTTTAAATTTTAATTGATTTTCTACAGAGAGGAAGGGAGGGAGATAGAGAGTTAGAAACATCGATGAGAGAGAAACATCGATCAGCTGCCTCCTGCACACCTCCCACTGGGGATGTGTGGCAGTGTATCCACATCCACAAACTGGGAAGGTGCACCCAAGGGATCCATGGAATGGGAACTTCAGCTCGTCTTTTCCCAAATTCCTCAGCAACTCAATATTCACGGGAGACTTTAGCTTCAGAGAAAAAGAAACCAATGTTTTAATAGAGAAGCACAGATACTACTTTACTTCCATTAGCGCAAATAACAAAACCCTACTGTGAAGTGCTCAAACAGTATATTGTATTATTATAGTCACTTATACAGTCCATAAAAATCAATGTACAACAAAGGATTGCTAATTTTTTTCTCTCTAAATTTCTTCCAGCTTTTCTAAAATAGGAAGAGGGATTATTTAAGCACAAATTCTTTTCAGAGAATTACAGCCACTAAAATAATCACAGGGACCACCAATTCTTCTTTCCAGAAACATAGGAATATTCATTCAACACTCACCGAATGTCGGCTAATGGGGGAAGAGCTAGGTGCTGCAAGATAAGTAATATGTACAATTTAAAGAGCTCAGTCTAATGATAATGTGGCAAAATACAGAATCAGAAGCAGGGAGTTTACTTCAATCAAGCAGTAAGAGATAATAAGGTTTGAACTGAGTAGAGAAGGAGATGGAGAAAGCATGGATTTTAAAGGCCTACATTCCTGCTCTGCACATGCCTGTCTACTCTCTCTCAATACCAGGATAAAACTGCTTGAGAAGATTATTTTTATTTGCTACTAAGTACTCCTTTGAAATTATTTTGAAATAAAGAAACTATTTTTATCCACAAGTTTGTATTTAGTCCATCGAATCAGCCTTCGAAACTGGAGGCACAATTCTATTGATCTGTTCACAAGTATCCAGACTTGAACTGCACAAGCTGAACAGAGGACAAAGGGAGACTACACTCACTTTCCACTTGACTAGTTCTGTAAGAGAATGCAGTATCCTCAATTCTCTCTCACAACATCTTGATCGCCTTCCCCTCAGTCTGCCTCTTCCCAAAAACATTTCCCTACCCCATTTCTCCTTCGGAAATGGAAACTCTTTTCACTGCTGAACTTTTAAAAAGTAATCTGTTTTGCAGCTCTGCTTCCTATTCTTCCATTTATGCAACGTACTGCAGTTTTGCTTCCACCTCTCTAACAATGCTAAAGCGGCCCTTTCAAAGTCAACAATAACTCCCCAAACGTGGAATCTAAGAGCTAACCAACTTTTAGCTGCATTTACTATTGATTATTTCCTTCTTGAAACGATATTATCTTCTTTGACAGCACACACTCCGGGTTCTCCTTTATCTCCAACCTCATCTTGTTAGACCTTCTTCCCAGATCTTAAGTCATTGTGACCCACAAGATACTGGATGTTAAATGAGTAGTAAGTAACAGTCAGAGCACTATTTGTAGGGCAGAGTTGAATGGCATTTAAGGGCAGTGCATGGCATTTAACAAAGGGGAAGTTCTTTTTCAGCTCCATCTCTAAACAGAAATTTACTTTCTAACCAAAAAGAAATTTAAATCTCCTCCTCCCCAGCGATGCCAAGCTAGGCAGGAAAATCTGATTCCTTATCCTTAAGGAACAATAATTTTTAACATTCTTGGGGTCACAGGCCCCTTTGAAAATCACATGAGTAATAAAGACCCTTTCATCACCCAAAATGTGAGCACATAAGCTCATACTTCCAAATAAATTTGAGAGGGTTCTCAGACTCAGATTAAGAATCCTAGTGATGGAAAGAATACAAACAGAGGGCTCAGGTAAAGAGAGAGGATGGGTTCAATCCCCAGTCAGTGCATATACAAGAATCAACCAAGGAATGCATAAGTAAATGGAACAACAAAATTGATGTCTCTCTTTCTCCTACTTCCTCTCTATTAAAAACATCAATAAAAAAAAAGACAATAGAATTAAGCAGAACACCTTGGATCACTGTCTCAAAACAATCTGATTGTTGTCTGGATAAAAAGAAAACAGTATCATTTTCCATTTATATCTGTGTAGTACTTATTCTTCAAAATGCTTACACTGATTACATAGGCCTAGATAAAATTACAAAGAGAGATGGTCCTTGCTTTTGATCTCCCTTTAAAAAAAATGTTTTTATTGATTTCAGAGAGAGGAAGGGAGAGGGAGCGATAGAAACGTGGATGAGAGGGAAACATCAACTGGCTGCCTCCTGCACGCTCTCTACTGGGATGGAGCCCCCACCCCTGCATGGCATGTGCCCCAAACGCGTGGGGACCATGCTCAACCAACTGAGCCACACCAGCTGCGCTTGACCTCCCATTTCGACCAGTTCATTTTCACTGTCTTTGCATAAATTACAGGTTTACCATTCTTTGCGTCTTTGTATTTCAATATTTATTCGGGGTACATTAGATATTTGTGCACACTACCTTTATCCCAACATCAAATCCATTATATTTAAGTCATTCTATGCAAATGGAAAGAATGACTTTTCTTTTTTCAAAGTTACTTAGATGGAAAAACAAACAAGCAGTCAAATATGTCAACAATAAATAGAGTATAACAAACATATTGCTAAACCGTGTCAAGGGCACAGGTCCAATTCAACATCATCATTCAAAAACACCCAAAGCACATACTGTAAGGGTGAGTTAGCATTACCACATTAAAAGAACTTTATCTTCAATTATAAGTATTAATACTTGGAGCACTTTTAAATCTAAATAAGAAACTAGGGTTCTACTCTTGGATAGTGTATGTACTGGGAACTTTATAAGATGCCTAACCTTAGCACTGAGTCACAGCTGCTCTTACACCAACTTTTATTAAATCTGAGATTAGTTATCTACAGTTTACACAGGTGTACAACAGCTTTCTTAGCATCAGATCATCCAAGGGGTGTGATCTAGGTAGTAGGTAGCCTACTACGTTTTCTACGGAAGCACAGGTTAGCTTTCCTTTTCCACATCTATAGACACCAGGACTCATTTCTGAACTTTTCTGTGCCGCCCAACTATACAGGCGAACAGAACTGCAAGAGCACCTAAGCCTCAGTTACCCAGCTCGGGGGCGTCAGCTCGGGTCACTTCCTCCTCCAGCGGCCAGGGAGCGGAAACACAAAGCCGGACCAATGTCACTCCAGGGGCTGCGGGGATCCAGACAATTCGGCACGGGACGCCCAGTCCACCGGGGCAACATACAGATCTCACTCCGGGACTACAACCCGCAGGGCTCCCGCGCCCCATTTCTCCGCACCCAGGGCACGCGCCTCCCCCGTGACCACAGCAAAGCGATCCCTGTGCCCGGGTCTGCCTACCTTCCCTCCTCCCGGATAAGCCGTCCCGGACGGCGCATCGGGAAAGAGAAACCCAGCAGCGGGGAAGGATCATTCTTCCAGAGAAGCCACAGAACTGACCCTCTGCCCGCACACCCAGCCGGGGTGAGTCCAGTGCGCCCC